AAAAAAAAGAAAAGAAAAGAAAAACCAAAACAACAACAAAAAAACTCCAAGTACTTGCAGGCTTTGGGGCTTCTTTTCCAGCTCACTAGCCTACTTTTACCATGGAGAAACACTTTTTTTCTTTTAGAGACTTGTATTATTTTTCATTATATGAGTGTGTCTGTGTATGAGAATGCAGGTGACCTCAGAGGCCAGAGACATCAGTTCCACCTGGAGCTGGAGTTACGGATGGTTGTGACCCGCCTGATGTGGGTACTAGGAATCAAAATACATCCCAAAGTGCAAGAAGTGCCCCCCCCCCAAGGAAAACATTTCTCTTGCCAGGCATCATGACACCTATAATCCTAGTATTCAGAAGTCAGCTCATCAGTTCAAAGCCTACTCAAAACTACCTAGTAGTCACACGGCAAGATCCTGTCTCAAACCCTGCCTCCCCCACACACACAAAAAAAATTAAGGTCTAAGGATGCATGCAACTCATGGTTTAGTGCTTATCTATAATATGAAAAGCCCTGGGTCCCTGAGTCTGATCCCAAAGCACCACAAAACAAACAAGCCTAATAACAAAAAAACGTAATTCTGCCCATGTCCATATTGAAAATTGATGATGCCTTCTATGGTAATTACAACATTGCATAGGATATATAAATAATACTAGATTCTATATAAGATTTAGCAGTAAATAAATACAATCAAGTTTAAAGGTTCTAATTGGAGTATAAACTATAGTTCTACTAACAGGAAGAAATTCTAAAGGTTAGCAAAGATTCAACAGGACAGCTAACAGTTTAAATAAAAAAAGGAAAAGCCAGTAAAATGATTCAGGGGTCAGAGCAGCTTTCCACACAGGTCTGAAACCTAAGTTTGATCCTCCGGTCCCACAAGATGGCAACAGAGAACCATTTTCTGAAAGCTGTCCTCTTACCTCCAGCACACACACACACACACACACACACACACACACACACACACACACACACACACAGAGAGAGACAGAGAGACAGAGAGAGGGGAGAAGGGAGAAGGGGGAGAGAGAGAGGGAGGGAGGGAGGGAGAGGGAGAGGGAGAGAGAGAGGGAGAGAGAGAACAAAACAGTAACAGCACCCACACGGCAGCTCACACCGACCTGGAACTCCAGTTCCAGGGAATCTGACACCCCACACAGACATACACGCAGGCAAAGCACCAATCACATAAAATAAAAGTAAATCATTAAAATTTTACCAGTTGTGGTGACGCATGCCTTTAGTCTCAGCACTCAGGAATCAGAGGAAGGTAGATCTCTGTTCTGAGTTCAGGGCCAGCCTGGTCTACAAAGCAAGTTCCAGGACAGCCAGGACTACACAAAGAAACCCTGTAACCCTGTCTCGAAAAACCTAAATACATACATACATACATACATACATACATACATACATACATACATACATGAATAAATAGTCTACCAGCTAAGCTGGCAAGGTATAGGTTAGAGTGCTAGGGAAAAGCAGTACCACTTGTAAAGGATGGGGGTGAAGGTATGAACTAACACCACACAAGACATTATTCAACTTAATCTCACCTACACTAACACATTAACTTTCAACCCCACTTAGCAGGCCTTGAATTTGTGATTCTCCTCCTCAGCCTCCTAAGTAGCTGGGATTACAGCCCTGTGCCACCAGGTCTATCTCTATAGTTTTTATTGTACTCATCCATTTATTTTTAGTACAAAGCAAGATTTTATGACATACTCCAGTTTGGCCTTGAACTTATCATGTAGCTTTGATAAGCTTTGAAATCATGGAAATTTTCTTGCTTTAGTCTTCTGAATACTGGATCACAGGTGAGTGCCATCATACCCAGCTAAGCCTTCCCTGTTAAGTAAATTAAATATCTTCCAAAATAGCAATGTTGGATCTGGGAAGATGCCGCAGTGGTTAAAGTACTTACTGCATAAGCATAGCATACGAGTTTACCTCCCCAGCACCCATTTGATGACAGGAGGACAGCACTCACATAAAAAGACATAAAAACAAACCTGGAGCCAGGTACTGGGGTCAACACTGGAAGATCAGAGACGCACAACAAGCCACAGCCACCTCACCTTGCCAATTCCTCAGCTGATCCTGTTTCCTCAGACTGGAAGCCTCTGTGTCCTTGTATCCGAATGAACTGCTGCTGTAAAGCCTAAAAGCTTAAGCAGGCTCTAGTTCCTGGTTTTCATGCCTTATCTACCTTTCTGCTTTCTGCCATCACTTCCTGGGATTAAAGGCACAAGTCACCATGCCTGGCTGTTTCCAGGGTGGCTTTGAACTCACAGAGATCCAGACCGATCTCTGCCTCTGGAATGCTAGGATTAAAGGCGTGTGCTATCACTGCCTAACCTCTATGTTTAACATTATGGCTGTTCTGTTCTCTGACCCCTAGATAAGTTTACTGGGGTGCACAATATATCAACCATACAATAAGGCACTCCTGTAAGCTAGTGTTGGGACAGCAGAGACAAATGATCCCTAGCCCCTCGGGACATCAGTGAGCACCAGGTTCAGTGAAAGACTATCTTCAAAACTAAGGTGGAGAGCAACTGCAGATATCTGATACTGTTCAACAAGAACACATATGCATATACATTAACATGTATAGCACCCGCACACACACACAAGGTAGCAAGGATATGTTAAAATTCAACATGGCTGTTTAACGTATATAATACAATGATATGTAGAATTACACAGCAAAGACAAACACTAAAAAGAAAATGATCAAATAAGAAAGGAGTCTGAGCCAGGCGGTGGTGGCACATGCCTTTAATCCCAGCACTTGGGAAGCAGAGCCAGGCAGATCTCTGTGAGTTTGAGACCAGCCTGGTCCACAGAGCGAGATCCAGGAAAGGCTGCAAAACTACACAGAGAAACCCTGCCTTGGGGGGGGGGGGGGCAGGAATAGGACTTTGTGCTATCAGGCAGTCATTAGAGTTTGGAGATGACATCCATTTTTCTTAAACACTAAAGAAAATATACTGGCAGGACTGGAGAGATGGTGCAGTAGTTAACTGTCAATTAAAAACAAACAAAAAAAAATGTACTTGCAGAGGACCTGAGTTTGGCTCATTACATCAACTGGCTCATAACCACCTATAACTCTAATTCCCGGGGGATATGACATCCTCTTCTGGTCTCTGCAGGCACCTGCACTCACATGTACATACACACACAGAGACACACAGGTCTACACATAACTGAACAGATTGAAATGCCATCAGGCAGATTAGGGAACTACCAACTGAACACTAATACCATTCAGAAAAATGAAAGGGACTGAGTTAGAGAAGTAACAACAGCAAAGAAAGAACACAGATAAGGAATATTGTTATTAGGACTTAACATCGTCCGACCAAATGAATCTAAGGAACCAAATGAGCAAGGTCTGTGTCCTAGGGATAGGGTAGGGAGTTGTCATTTAACAAGCAGTACAGAGTATGGTGGGTGGTGTATACCTGTAATTCCAGTACTCAGGCAGCAGAGGCATCACAAAGTTTGAGGTCAGGAATAGTCTACATATCAAGATCCATGCCAGCCAGGGCTACAAAGTGAAACCAATTCTCAAAAAGCCAAAATAAAACAAAAACAAAACAGCCCAATAAAGTGACAGTACATGTAATACACTCTAAGAACTTCGCTGAGTACTTGGGATACAGTGTTGAAAAAAGGTAACAAAACATTACTCCATATTAAGAAAAATTAACTGGCCAGGAGGTGGTGGTGCACACCTTTAATCCGAGCACTCAGGAAGCAGAGGTAGGTGGATCTCTATGTGCAAGACCAGCCTGGTCTACAGAGTAAGTTCCAGGACAGCCAGGGCTACACAGAGAAACTTTGTCTCAAAAAACAAAACAAAAAATTAATTGGGCAATAAACAGATATGTACTTTTAATACAGCAGAAGTACAGTAAGCAAAGCAGAGGGAGGAAAGAATCCACATGGATTTATTTTAAAAAAAAAAATCACTAAATGAAAATGACAATTTTATCTACTGACAGTAATTTGAGAACCTGGGTTGAGTTCTGCAGAGCAATGAAAACATTACTAAAGAACTTACCAGAAGTTTCAACTAAGTAGTCAGTAAAACAGCCAAAAGAAATATTACAACTATATGAACAACCAGAGTGCTTAAAGGTGGTTAAAGTACGAATATTAACAACATGTATCAAGCACTGAAATTAAAATTTTATTTATTTGACTAAGCATATTGATTTCCACAAGCTATTGTAAGACTGAAGAAATTGCATTTCTTTACACTATTGAACACAAGCTTGTCATTAATTTTCTAAATGAAACAAAACATTTAGGGATACATGTGGGGATGATAAAAATTAAAGAACTGAAAGAACAGTAGTTATAGGTATATGGAGTTCAAACTGACACAGCTCACAGGAAAACTGTTCTGGTAACTGCTCTATTTCATGACCTGGGTTAGCGGGTAACCAGGTATACATCTAATCATTATTATTTACTTGAACAGTATTTACTGAGCTTCCATTACTTACTCAATTGTACCTGGGTAGATGGAGAATAACAAAACAAATTACCAAAGTACCTCTATTTCAAATTAGTTAAAGGAGCTCACAGAAGGGCTGAGGAGATAAATGGATTAGCAGGTACAAGCACTTGTTACTAAGGCTGATGGCCACCAGAAGTGGTAGTGCATGCTTTTAATCCCAGCAGAAGCAGAGATTCTCGAGAAAGAAAAAAACTATTCAAAAGTAAAAAAATAAACACCTGATGACCTGAATTCAATCACCAGGATCCATATGGAAAAAGAAAACTGACTCCTCTAAGCTGTCCTGACCTCCAAATACACACACACACACACACACACACACACACACACACACACACAGAAATGTAATAAATGTTTTTAAATGACGCAACAAAACAATAATAAAAAAAAAAAAAACTTTTTTTGAAGCTATGTATGTGGTATGAGGTTTGGGACTACACAAGTACCCAGTGCCCAGGAGACTCAGGAGGAGTCCAAAGCCATCATGGGCTATATAGTAAGTTCAAAACCAGCTTTAAATACACTATACCCAGTCTCAAAATAATAGTAAAACAGAAAAGTAGTAGTAGTAATAGTATATCTAAGCACTATCAGAATAAAAACTTCAAAAAACTCCAGTATTGAAATACATTATTGAAAATGATTTTGCCAAATATTTAAATTATTTCATCTGAAAATTAATTGAGTCTTTAACTCCCAGGTATAATTTTTATTCAAAGAAAGATTTTCCCAGAATGATTTTAAGTAACATAAGCTTAGGCATATGATAAAGTTGGTCTCCTAGATACAAATATCAAATAAATTTTGAAGGCAAATTCTAGTTAAGATACTTAGTGTAATTTGTTAAACATATACATATCAAAATTCCCCAAGCAATTTCCATTTCAATTATTAAAATTTTGTTTTTAGAATAAATGTTGCTTACCTGTTCCTTACTGAATCTTGAGAAATCTTAAAGTTTGGAATGACAGAAGACACACCATATTCATCCTGATACTTCTTACAAGATTTGTAATGATGTCTCATGCGATAGAATTTAATCTGTAAATTATTGGTTAAATACGATTTTTAATTTAGAACACAATACACAAAATTTGAGATACTGTCAATAAGAGGAAAAAAGATAAAAATAGATAACTAAATATTTCATTTAAGCAAAAGTTTCTTTATAAAGGTAAGTTAGTGTCAGGCAGGGTCACACATACCTTTAACCCCAGTACTTGGGAAACAGATCTCTTATTTAGAGGCTGAGGCCAATCTGGTCTACACAGTGAGTTTCAGATCAGCCAGGGCTACATAGGGAGACCCTGCCTCAAATAAATAAATAAACTAACAAATAAATATAGTAACACCAATAGAAAAAGCCAGGCACAGAGGTGCATCCTTGTATCTCAGCATTTGGGAAGAGGAAACAAAGAATCAGTTGTTCAAGGTCATCTTCAGTTATATTATGAGTTCAAGGCCCACTTGGGCTACCTGACACCCTAGCCCAGAAAACCAAATACAAAAGAAAGAATTCTAAGAGGCTGCCTCATACTGCTGGGCATTTGACTATTACAACCCGATAAGAGAAAAAAGCAGGTAAGAAATGATGTTTCCTGTGTTCATATTGGGAACATTTTTTTTGGTTTCTCACTGAGAAACAAGGCCAGAATCCCCCAAGTGTATTTTCAGTTCACCATCTTCTTCAGAGATGGAAAGCAGATCTGACTTGAATAAACGCGCTACAGACACAAGGCTATACTCAAAGCCTAACCACTTCTCACCAGTTCAGCCTTCTTCAAGTAGAATGATTAGAGAATGTTATTTGTTTATCAATACCTGATTATCCCATGTGCTTAAAATTAAAGCTTAAACCAGTCTTCTGTGAGATATTTCATGATTTCTTAAATACCTAAGTGGGCACCTACAGGTTTCTTTAGTATATAAATCTATTTGGCTAACTTATTAACATTTGACAGACTATGAGCTTATTGAGAAAATAAACTTTTAATCTTTTTTTTTAAGATTTATGTATTTGTTATGTATACAGTGTTCTGTCTACACGTATGCTTGCAGGCCATAAGATTTCATTACAGATGGTTGTGAGCCACCACGTGGTTGCTGGGAATTGAACTCAGGACCTCTGGAAGAACAGCCAGTGCTCTTAACTGCTGAGCCATCTCTCCAGCCCCTAAACTTTTAATCTTAAAGATGAAAAATCTCTAAGGCTTCTGATACACAAAGCTTCTGATCTTTTCTACATAACTCACTCTAAATAACATCTTGTTTATTTTGTTTTTGAGGCTATCTCAATCTGTAGCCCAAGCTGGCTGTGAACTTGCAGCCCTCCTAGTTCAGACCCCTGAGAGCAAGGATTATAGGTGCACACCATATTGCTTGGAAATGTCTTTCTTTTCAAAATCATGTTCACCAGGAAATTAAAACACTGTCATAATATAACTCTACCTTTTTTGAACAGCATCTGCAGCTACCAGAAAACTTCCTCATGACATTTTCAAGATCTAAGGCCCGTTCTGGACATGCTCTTTCTCTTCTAGTCACACTTCCACGACATAGGGGACAATGTATTCCACTTTCTCTCATTGCAGTCAGGAAACATTTTCTACAGAAACTAAACCAAACATTTGTTACATGTTAGTTAATTACAGAAAAAATTACTTTATTTCTTTTAAACAAGTGATTATGGATATGTACATATACTATGTAGTCAGGCTATTCAAATGTATGCACAGCCCAGTTTTGAAAGTTATGTATGTATTTCTCAGACATTAAGATTAATAACTGGATTAGATGGTAACAAAATAAAACTACATTCAAGTCCATTTTACAACTTTTTTTTTTTTTTTTGAGAAAGGGTCTCACTCTGAAGCTGAAGTTTATAGACTCTAAGGAAGCAATCCTACTTTAACTTCCTGAATGATGGGAATTATAGGTATGTGCCACCACACCCAGCTACATTTGTGTCTGAAAACTATAAAACAAAGACAGGCGTGGCAGCACAGGCATTTAATCCCAGCAAGTCAGGAAGATGAAACAGAAGGATCTCTTTGAGCTCAAGGACAACCGGTCTCCATGTCTCAAGTTCCAGGACATCCAGAACATAAAAAGACCAATTCAAACAAACAACAACAACAACAACAACAAAAAAAAAACCACACACCCTATATTCCGGTAAATAAATACCTTTTATTTCCAATTTTTCTGTTTTTCCTTCTATACCACAAACATGCCTCTTCAGATATAAACTTGTTTATTATCCCCCTTTATATTAAACTAGATAAATTTGCTACACAGAAACTGATTTTAAAAAAAAGTTTAGTAATTTTTGGTGTGCACCTTCCTTCTCTTCCTGTCATACTTTCTTTTTCACATATCAAAGAAGCCTGTAATTTTAGAATAGTACATTACCATATTACTACAAATTCCTGTTTGTTACCCCCAGATGCCAACAATCAACAGACTGGGAGAGAAAAAAAAACACATTTTTACCCACTGTGCTTTTAGTGTAAGTTAAATACCTGGCAAGCAAATTTATATAATCAAAATAATTACCCCAAATAACTTATTTTTAATAGAGAATCTTGGGGCTGGAGAGATGGCTCAGCAGTTAGGAGCACCTGTTGTTCTTTCAGAAGACCTAGGTTCAATTCCCATCACCACATGGCTGCTCACAACTGCCTGTAACCCCAGTCCCAGGGAATCTGATGCCCTATTCTGACCTTCACAGGTACTGCATGCAAATGGTGCACAGACATATAGGCAAAACAATGATAAACAAAAAGTTTCATGTAGCTAGAGTGACCTCAAATTCTTCACATTACGTTGGCCTTGAACTCCTGATCCTCCTGCCTCCAAGTACAAGGATCATAGGCATGTATACACCATGCCTGGCCTGGCCTTTTTTTTCTCCCTTGAGACAAGGTAGCTCTGGTATGGCTCAAACTCACAGCAACTCTCCTGCCTCAGTCTCCTTAATGCTGGGACTACAAGCAAATGCCAAAATACACAGCTCCCCAAAATAACTAAGGAGGGGAAATGAGCAATCAATTAATCTTCAGGTCTTAAAATTAAACCGATCTGACCAAAACTACACAGAGAAACCCTATCTCGGAAAAAAAAAATTAAATTGATCTGTTAAGTAAACAGTACAGTTTTTGCCACTTTATAGTTTAAAAATCTTAAGAAGCTGGAAGGTGGGTGGTGCATTCTTTTAATCCCAGCACTCAGGAAGGAGGCAGAGGCAGGTGGATCTCGGAGTTCCAGGCCAAGTTCCACAACAGCTACCAGCTACACAGAGAAATTCTGTCTGGGGTTGGGGGTAGGGGAGTGGGGGGTGGATCTTAAGACATGAAAATAAGCCAGGTAGTAGTGGCACACACCTTTAATGCCAGCACTTAGGAGGCAGAGAGCCAGGCGGATCTCTGTGAGTTCAAGGCCAGCCTGGTCTACAGAGTGAGTTCTGAGACAGGCTCCAAAGCTACAGAGAAACCCTGTCTCGAAAAAACAAACAAACAAACAAACAAAGACATTAAAATATAGAAGGGGGATTTGTTGGGAAGAGGTTCAGAGAAGTTAGAAGGAAATGAGAGGGTAATTGAAGACAAAAATGAACAAAATACATTATATGTATGAGACTGTCAACAAATAATTTTAAAAAATTCATAGTGAGTTCCCAATTAGTTAGAGCTGTATCATGAAACTTCATCTCAAAAGCCAGAAATAAGCCTCATATCTTGGCACATGCCTATCATCTCAGGACGTGAAAAGTAGAAACAGGAAAATCAGAGTTCAAAGCCAGTCTTAACTATAAAGGAGTTCAAGGCCAGCCTGGGCTATCTATATAAGATAAGTCTCAAAGGAAGAAAACTAGTGTTTCCCAGATATGTTGTTACATGTAAATTTTCATTTAGATTCGAGCTTACTTCTAACACTGTACAAATATTCTTTGACATTTTAAAAAAGAGACAGAAACTACGATGATTGGCTTTAAGTGTCAAGTTGACACAACCCAGAATCACCTGGGAAGAAAAGTCAATTGAGGTATTGTCTAGATTAGGTTGGCTGAATCTGTGGGTGTATTTTAGGACTGTTTTCATAGCTACTGATGTATATGAAGACCCAGACCATTTCAGACAGCAGCCTTACCTGGTTTTCAGCCCTGAACTGTTTAAGAGAAGGCTGTCTAAGTAGCAAGCAAGGTTTTATTGTATCCCTGTTCTGGATGGGATGTGGTGCTTTAAATTCCTGTTTTGATGTCTCCAAAGGAACAGACTGCAATTGTAAATCAAATAAACCCTTTCTTCCCTAAGTTGTTTTTTGTCAAAGTATTTTATCACAGCAACAAAAATTAAAATGAACAAAATAAAAGATTTTTAAGATTACACAGTAAACTAGGAGAAATAAGCTTATCAATAGCCATTCTATTTTCTCCTGAAATGTTTTTCTGGACATTTGCCTCACACACACTTTTTTTTTCCTTTTGAGGAACAGTATTGCTATGTAGCCCATGCTGGTTTTAAATTCCTGGCAATTCTCCTACCTTATCTCACCTCCCAAGTGCTGATTTTATAGATGTGCCACTATGACTGGTTCAGCTGGGGGGCAGGGGAAGCACCGGACCTCACATAGGCTAGATAAATGGGCTAACAATGGGCTAGGTCCCAGGTCCCCCCAGTTCGTTTTGGTGTTTTGAGACAGTTTCACTTAGTTGCATAGCCTAACCTTGAAATTGCAATTGTCCTTTCTTAGTCTTCCCAGATGCTTTTGCAGGCCTGTACCACCCAAGCCAACTTTGTTTTGTTTTTCAGTGCTGGGGATTAAACCCAGACCCTTGTGCATGCTAGGCAAGCATTTTAACACTAATACCGTCAGCCCTTACTTTGTTTTTATTTATTTATTTTTAAACATTATATCGGACTATTCTAAGGTATCTAACAGTGTTGTGGTTTGGTTTTTTTTTTTTTTTTGTTACTGCTTTGCTTTTTGTTTTTAATTCTTTCAGTTTATGTCTTGCCTGGATTTCTTCCTATCCTATCTACTACTCCTCCTTAGAATACAGCTCTCTCTACTGAAGTTACATAAGTATTCTTCAAAACTTGGGTCTATCTAGGACCTCTGCTCTTCTTGCTTTGTTACATATATATGTTCCCCGGTGAACATACACACAAAGGCAGCTTTAGCTCCCTTTATTCCAGATCTATGTACAGTATATACATTTAACTACTGGACATGCTGTCATTAAATCTTACACAATATCCTTAAAATGTCAGGGGTCTCTTCTCTGCATTACCACTATTACCTTAGTTTAAGGTTCTTTCTCATCATTCTCTTTCCTGACATATCAATGTGTCACCAACATTACTAGTGTCAACTGCCAACCTAAAATTTGACACTTAAATAAACTTTCTAAAAGTGAAACCACACCATGCTGTTCCCCTGCCAAAATAGGTCTCTGGTTTCTAGGAAAACATATATGGCTCACCCAGTAAATTTCTGCCAATATATGTAAACTACAGCTATTACACATATTCTTTGGCTCCAAACTCTGTCTGAGGATAGCCATCTTCTAGTAAATCTATACACGGTATACCCACCATGCCCCAAATACAAACTATCACTGGTAACTTCATCGAGAAAATCAGTCACTTATATTTATATTCCCAAACTGATTTAGATACTTGCTTCTTGTTGCTAACATAAAATTTTCTACCTAAAATCTTATAAATATCAGTAACATTTATAGGTTTTCTCTACTAGATTATTAACAGTTACCAGAGAAAGTACACTGAGTACTCCTTATGCCAAAAAGAAAGCATTAGACAACTTCTATTTGGAGAAATAAATGGAGATTAAAGGGACATTTGTAATGATTTTGCTCCTTTTCTGCCACTGAAATGGCCATGAAAACCTATTTTTAATATCTACAAGATCCCCAGTGATCCAAATCATTAACCTCATCCCTCTCTATGAATCATAAAGTAATTTGGTACTCTTTTCCTTCTGTTAGTTTGATAGACTAGACTGTATCCATCCATTAAGGCACTGAGCTCAATCCTAAGCCTCACTTCAAAAATACAACCCGATTTTACAGCAAAATATAAACTTGTTTATGGGCACAATTCTGTCTTTTGTAAAAAAGAGATAATGATGTGCCGGGTGGTAGTGGCGCATGCCTTTAATTCCAGCACTAGGGAGGCAGAGACAGGCAGATCTCTGTGAGTTCGAAGCTAGCCTGGGCTACAGAGTGTGTTCCAGGAAAGGAGCAAAGCTACGCAGAGAAACCCTGTCTCGAAAAACCAAAAAAGAAAGAAAGAAAGAAAGAAAAGAAAAAGAGAGATAATGATGTAGTAAATACTTTAAAATAATTCTAGTTATTAAAAAAAAAAAAATCCGGGCTGGAGAGATGGCTCAGCGGTTAAAAGCACTAACTGCCTTTCCAGAGGTCCTGAATTCAATTCCCAGCAACCACATGGTGGCTCACAACCATCTCTAATAGAGCTGGTGCACTCTTCTGGCCTGCAATCATATATGCTGTATACATAATAAATAAATAAATTAAAAAAAAGAAAAAAAAATTCCTTCACCCCATTCAGTCCTGTCAATCTAGACCCTGCTCCATCATTACCTACCTTTTCATCTATATAAAAAATTTCCCCCCTCTTCCTTTTTTAAATACACTGTTCAGCAAGAAGTACAAAGCAACTATAGAGAAAGTGCTGGTAGAGAGCTATTCTGTTCTTGTCCAGTAAGTTAATCTGAAGAAAGTCAGAACTTAAAAAAAAAAAAAGAAAAAAAAAAAAAATCATCACTTGAGGTCAAGCTAAATTATAGTCCATTTTAAATATACCACATGTGAAATACACTGGAATTTTGTGCACAGAATTTTGAGGAGCTGAAATTTACAATGGGGTCTGAGGTCAGTGACCCCAGAGTATCTGAAATGATTCTGTACATAAAAGATCTATGAAGTACACACACAACAGCTACCGTAGCGTCCTCTCACCTCATCTACACCAAAGAAAAGTGTCAGGCTGTCATTAATCTTGCTTTATAAAGAACTTAATTATTTTAAATCGAGTGTGTGTGTGTGTCTGCAGGAGGACATGTGCACGTGAGTGCAAACGCCTTGCAGAGGCCAGAGATGCTGGATCCCTTGCAACTAGAGTTAATAGTTGTCTACCTGATGTGGATGGTAGGAACTGAACTCTGGTCCTGTGGTAGAACAGTAATTGTTCTTAACCTCAGCGCCATCTCTCCAGTCCTCATTAATCTTTCTTTCATCCCCCTTTTTCTGTTTGTTTTTCTGGTTTTTTGAGACAGGGTTTCTCTGTGTAGCCCTGGCTGTCCTCAACTGAGATTTGCCTCCCTGAGTACTGGGATTAAAGGCATTAGCCACCACCACTCAGCTCATTAATCTTTCTTGACGAGCAAAAATAACTTCCCTAGTTCATCACTAAACGCCAACTCACATGACTGCCACAGAATAGGATTAGTGAAGATGAAGAACAGTGAAGAGTTGGCCAACACAAAAGTTCCATGTTATTTCTTTTGGGGGGGGCGGTTTATTTGGCTTACACTTCTATCACTGAAGGAAGTCAGGACAGGAACTCAAGCAGGGCAGAGACTGAGGGCAGGAGCTGATGCAGAGGCCATGGAGGGGTGCTAATTACTGGCTGCCTCCTCATGGCTTGCTCAGTCTTTTTTTTTTTTTTTCTACTGCTGCATTTTTTTTTTTTGACCACAACTTTTTTTTTTTTTGAAAATATTCCACTGAGTATCTCAGGCTGTCCTCGAACTCACAGAGATCCGCCTGGCTCTGCCTCCCGAGTGCTGGGATTAAAGGCGTGCGCCACCACCGCCCGGCTTATTTTTCTATTATCAGCTTGATACAGTATAAATTCTTAACTTAATAGTGAAATGTTTCACTGAGGCTTGCCCAGTAATTGAGTAAAACCAAAACTTATAAGCCCCAGTCATCCTAGGGTCCCCCCTGCTATATATATAGCCTCCCTGGTTCTGTGGGTTGCAGTCTGATTGTTCTTTGCTTTATATCTAGAATCCACTTGTGAGTGAGTACATACCATGTTTGTCCTTCTGGGATTGGGTTACCTCACTCAGGATGATTTTTTCTAATTCCATCCATTTGCCTGCAAATTTCATGCGCTCATTGTTTTTCTCTGCTGAGTAGTACTCAAAATGTGTACCACATTTTCTTAATCCATTCTTCAGTTGATGGGCATCTAGGTTGTTTCCAGGTTCTGGCTATTATAAATAGTGCTGCTATGAACATAGTAGAGCATGTATGTTTGTGGTATGATTGAGCATTCCTTGGGTATATGCCTAAGAGTGGTATGGCTGGGTCTTGAGGTAGTTCGATTCCTAATTTTTTGAGAAACCGCCATACTGATTTCCACAGTGGTTGCACAAGTTTGCATTCCCACCAACAGTGGAGGAGTATTCCCTTTGTTCCCCATCCTCTCCAACTCAATGATATTTCTGTACTTTTTGAATCATATTGCTTTTTTTGGGCATTTTTGTCCCTTTTGTTATGTGTTTTTCATTTTGTTAGTTTGGCTTGTTTGGGCATTTTCTTGGTTTGCTAAAGATTGAGATAAAGGACAGTAGATGGAGAAGATATGAGAGGAGTTGGGGGAGGGGAAATCATGATGAGACTATATTGTGTGAAAATATATTATATATATATATTTTTTGAGACAGGGTTTCTGTCTAGTTTTGCTGCCTGTCTTGGATCTCACTCTGTAGACCAGGCTGGCCTTGAAGTCACAAAGATCCACCTGCTCTGCCTCCCGGGTGCTAGGGTTAAAGACGTGCGCCACCACTGCCCAGTGTGAAATATTTTTTTAATAAAAAAGGATTATCATTGTCAAAAAAAGTTAACAAAAAAGTCATCTGTAGCTAGACTTGTGATCAAGAAACCAAAGTTCTATCCACCACCATTATTCCTTTTCTTAGACGGGATTGCTGGATTGTTGTTACTGTTGCGTGGTTGTGTTTTTGCGACAAGTCTTGCTTGGTGTGTAGTCTAGGGTGGCCTGGAAGTCACTACACGGCCAGGCTAGTCTCAAACTCAAAATCCTTCTGTCTGCGCCTGCCAAGCATCACCTCACCTATGCCTTGAAAATTCTAAGTCCCATCATTAAAAACAAGGGTGGAAGGAAAAACTTAATCTAGAGACTTGTTCAATTCTTTGCAGCTGCTTGGAAGCACCGAACTTTTTCACGCCCCACCTGCCAGAAACCCATGTCTAAGTTTGGAACGGAGCCTAGAAACTGGTTATCTTTACTTTAAAAAGTTCCTCAGGGGAGCCCGGCGTGTTGGCGCAAGCCTTTAATCCCTGAGGCAGGGAGATCGCTCTGAGTTCCAGACTGGCCAGAGCAACAGGAGCCCGTGCCTCAAAATAAATATATAAACAAGCAGGTAAGTTAAGTAAATAAATAACGTTCCTCGTGGACTCCGGTCATCACCCAGGCCTGTCACGTGCTTTATTAAGGTCTGTCTCCAGCCCCGACTGGCACTGGCTGTCTGGGAAAGGATTCAAGTTGCTTCCCGTAACCATGGCAAGCGACCTACCTCAAGGCCACCCTGCCCCGTGCCTTTGTGTCCTACCTCATCCCTGGAGTAAGCACCTCAGCCAGGCACAGTGCACAGGAGGAACGCACAAAGGGAGCCACCTCCTGCAAGCCCAGGAAACCCTGCGGCCCAGGAAACCCTGCAGCCCAGGAAACCCCCCGCCGCCCCTTCGGACCTCGCGTGGGGAGAGAAGGGCGCTAGCTAGGCTCCTCATCTGACACCGTTTGAGCCCCGAGTTTCCAAATCGGCACAAGGACGGGGGTGAAGGAGGGGTCGCGGGCTGTGTGTGTGTGTGGGGGGGGGTGTCCTCGCACAGACCAGGGTCTAACACCCCAAGGGGAGCCCCTGTAACCACCCCGGCGGGCCCTACACGACCGACCCCGCGGCGGGGCCCGAGCACTCAACGCCCGGGCCTCCACAAGGGTTGCTAGGAAACAAAAAGGCTCCACGTTCT